GAATGTGGAGTTTAGAGGGACTCCCCTGACATCAAAATAAAAATATATCTTAAAATATGCATACAAAGTTTTCCCCACCAAGCAGTTAAAACTCAGTTAAAGGGATATTAACATTTTAATGTGTGTCTGATTTATAGCACCATCCTATTCTAAACCTACCTTTCTCAGTGTATGGCCTACAGGGGCAGCTCTGTATCTTTGGACAGTTGACACATGTCGCTTCAACAAACACCGCTGACCCTTACCTTCTCCTGCACTGAGTTTTCAGCCACAGAGACTAAGTCCCGTTCGACGATTCGAACGCATGTTCGAATGGGACTTAGTCATTTTTTTTCAGTGTGAAATTGACCAACCGCACAGCCCAAATCTATGGAACTGTTTTGGGCAGGAAAATGTGCTTGCGGTCTGTCGAAAGTGACTTATATCAATCTCCCGAACGGCTGAATGGATTTGAATGATTTTTGGGTATGTTTGTATTTGAAATATGCTGATAATATTGGATGTATAGTTTTAGAGTTATGAAAGTTGGGTAAAAAGTATGTTTTAAACTGTACGGCTAATTGTGTTACCTCTTAGGCTAAGGGGAGGAGATGTATGGGAGTGTTTATACTGTATACTACGTGTTTATTGGTTGTTCTGTAAAACCCTGTGGGCGGTCCTGTATGTGTTAAACCTGCATAAAAGAAGGCCTGTTGGTGCCAAGTAAACAGAGTTCTTCTTCACCCTCAATCTAGAGTCCTGTCTCTTATTGGGGGAATTGCTATATCACTACAAGGGATTGCTATGCTCTGCATGCTCCCTTGGATAATCACTTCTAAGCTCTTTTAAGAGCTTGTTCCTGTCTTGCTCTTGGAAGGAGTCTACGGTGGTTATGGTGTCGGCTGGAGTGCTTGGAGCCCTCAGGAAGCGCTAGGAGCATCCTTCAACGGAGGTACCCAGTCGGGGTGCCAGGTGATCTGTTACACATGTTTGCTCGGTAGTGAACTAGTCTTTGTACCCAGGTGTTGGTGACCTAGCTAGTGCTTGTGCAAGATGGAGGCATTTCACAAACCGCTGATGATCATATATTGGACAGGAGTATCTTCCAGTTACCGAAATCTTCATAAGTAAAATAATAGGGGTCCAGGCACTCCTTGGCCCAAGACAGGCACTTCACTGAGAACCACAAGAGCAACGCCTCGACCCCAAAAGGTCTTTGTCAAGCTTGGGCCAAGGAGTGCCTGGACCCCTATTATTTTACTTATGCTTGGAAATCTGGTGTTTGATTCCGGCTCAGCAAGCACCCTGGCTCAGATTTGTGGGAGTGAGTGCATTTCCACATATACTATTCAAACCGAAATCTGCATAGTCATAGCATGTTCTGTGTTTGGGGTATTGGCGTGTATGTGAGGGGATGCATTGATTTTGCGAACCCTCTTCCCTGTTAACCCCTTCATTATCTCATTACAGTCCTGCCAGGTCACCTGTCACATCGGAATTAAGTTTATGTTACAGTCCTGAGCCTTCATAGATTAGCTGTGAGAGATTATGAAAATCTGCATATCCCCTTGGAAATAAACTTCACAGGTCACATCATGTGCATCATGGGTAATGTAGTCCTCGTCACTGTTCGATCTACACTATTGTAGAAAGATTCTAAGAGCTCTGCCAGTTAACACCCACGACATTTAATTCCGGTGTTTGGAACCTTATGCGGAGCGCCCCACAATATCTTCCCACCTGATGAGCAGTAAACATAATGCTAGCAAAATGAGACATTTTTGGGAGCCCCTGTTAAGGTACGGGGAGCCCCTGTTAAGGTACTATGTATTTAAAGAAAAGTTTTTACCTAAAAACTGTTTTTTATATAATGACTATTTAATCAGGTTTTAAAAGGAAATAAATTTGTGATTTAAATGAATTTTATATGTAAAAATGAGGACACATCTCTAGCTTTAGTACAAGACAGGATCCTTCCGCCATGTACATATACCTTGGTTTGTACAGTGTTTGACTTTGACAGCTAGTTGGTCTGATGATGTTACTGCAGTGTGCGAAGAGTGAAGCCGCAAAGACCTGTTTTCAAACACACTCTGGCCCAAGGTGTGTGCACGTGGCTGTCTGGCCCAAGGTGTGTGCACGTGGCTGAAATATCCTGTCCTGTATTAAAAGTAGGGATACGTTTTTCCTCGTTTTGTTGCATGTACTTTAGCTAACAAAAATCGCATTTCATTGCAAAATTGATGAAAGGGTCATTACTTTAAAAATAGTTTTTAGGTGACAGTTGTTCATTAATACAGTTGGGGAAATGAAAGACAAGCCTTTGTACGGTCTGCATTAGACATTTCATAATACCCCGTCTCTGCTTTCACTGCTTCGAAGCGTGAATAAAGCACCAGGCTATCCACCCTTGTCATATAAAGCTACTGTCATCTGTGTGACAAAACCTCCCAACATGAGGTCATCACTGCATTACAGCTGTGTGCAGATTAGGTGACGCTTAAGGGATCCCAGTGAAGCCTTCCAAACCACAAACCCCCTGCTATTACTAAAACACGTGTGCATGATAAATACATGCATAGAAATTGGTGATGGACTACTCCCACAGAAGTTGGTCTCTACTCTTTCTGCAGCTTTGGTAAATGCAGCTTTTCTAATGAGATTGAGATACGTGTTCAGGTCGCCTGGTTTGGATAATGACTAAGTATTTGTTAAGCACGTGGCAGAGCTGCACAGACCCTAATATTTTAAAGCAGGGGGTTGTGTTCTCTAAAATCAGAAATTGTGCAGAATTTAAAGAGGTATTGTTCATTTTTCTTCTTAAGTAGCTGGGCTGCAAAACCAGCTGACTTTCACAATTAAGTTAGTTTGCTCTAAAATTTACCGTTCTTTGGTATATCCTGTTTAATTCCCAGTTTAGAGGGATTATCATATATGTGACTATTACTTTGGTGATTCCGATTTCCCCTTCTAATTTTGGAGGTAACACACAGCAGTGTTTTGCTCCTGCTGCTTTCATAAAAACGTATTTATTTAAAAAAAAATTTTAAACAAAAAAAATACATGGCAGATATCCATGAGAAACTCACTGCCTCACATTACGGCTCAGTGACTAAATCCCATCGGTTGGGAAAGAAATCTGCATGAGCGTGAAAAATGCTGGCCAATACCGTAAGAAAAAAAAATGAATCAATTTTTAAAATTTGCCTTTAAAGATGCACAGACCATTAACCCATTAAGGACACATGACATGTGTGACATGCCATGATTCCCTTTTATTCCAGAAGTTTGGTCCTTAAGGTGTTAAACATACAATTGTATTGTTTATTTAATATTAAGACACAAACTAGAATTCACTACTAACGTCATTTTAAGCAGTTAATTCTTTTATCTGTCCATTCTGGGTCTCATTGAATAATGATTCTATAGCTATGGTTTTTGTATTATTGCACACTTATGTGTGTTTTTTTTTTTTTTCATTGTTAGATTTAGTCTTTTGTAGGAGTCATGTCTTTTATCTACAAATAACCCGTGACTTTGTGGACTGCATTTCCTATGATGATCATCCAGTCGAAAAAGGAAGCTTAGTCTGTGACAGATGTAGAGCCAAATGGTCAGCCATCCGTGATGTACGCATTGATAAGTCATGCGTGTGAGTTAAAGGGACAGTACAGCATGGGTTTTACCGACCATGGTTTTAAGTATTGAGTGTAGAATAAATGTTTAAAAAATAAATGCCGAATTCTTAGTGATTCCGGGATCTCTTACAGCAATTCACAGTTCCAGTGGATCTTCTATGGCCTTAAACTGGGGTGGCATTGCATTAGTAGCGCTTTGTATGTTCCTGTAATTACTGTAAACTTGTTGGAGCATAGCTGTCGACTCCTATTGTTTCCATTTGCCTATATTTTTATCACTTATTTGTATGTTCGTTTTTGTTTACCCATGTACATCACTGCAGCAACTGTTGATGACTTATAAGTAGTTATGTTTCCCCAATATAAATGGCAGCTGCTTGTACTTCCTTAGTTCTGTAGTACAGCCATACATCGAATAAAGTGTTGTGCGGGTGCACCTTCCACGTCAAATACAGAATTATCATTTCTACCTCTCTGACCGGCTGAAACTCATGCCACCGACGCAGGGGGTGTGCTGCATGTTGCAAGTATCTGGTTTCATGAAAATGATGCGTTTCACTTCTTAGCATCCTACTGCTTACCAAATAGATTTTATTTAAAAATTTTCTTCACAAGTGACAGCCATGTACATGATCGGTGGCTCTCCAAGCTCTCATAAAGAGCAAACTAGTATATAACATCTACATATGATGATATCA